AATTCGTTTTGTAGAATATCGGAATTTTATGGAAATAGGCTAGGACACCATTTAAAATCGTGGACGATTTTTTTTAATAAAAAAAGGAATCTATTATATCTTATTTTTGAAAATTTTTTTAATAAAAAAAGGAATAAATCGGGTATGTAAATTTTTTTATGAGATGTTATAAGATATCATATCATTTTAAAAAGATAATATGTCTACAATATTTATAGTGTTTATATATATTTATGATGATTTAAACAATAATATTTTTGTCTAAAAAATATTAAATTGTGTATTGCATTTGAGGTGTTGAAAGCAATGAATGACGGCAAAGGTGATCATGAATTATTGAGATTTTTGGAGAACTCGTGTTTTAGGAAAGAGAAGCTTTTTGGTAGGCATATTGCCAAAGAAACTAGGAGTGCTGGTTAGAAAATGGATACAATGTTGTTAACTCATGTTGTGAGAAAAAATTGTAGCTAGACGCAAAAGGTGGTGCGATTAAAAGTTCCATGATTCCAGTCTCCACCTGGATTGTCTTAAGAGCTCTCAAATGGCAATGTTAGTTTCTTTATTTTGATTTTTAAAGGTTTTACATTTCTTCACTAATTATTGGTAATACTCACACTGCTTTTCATTGTCATCTAGGTTTTGACGCCAATTTGGTAGGTGGATGCATCATGGATCTTCTAATGCAAAGAAGACCCAGGGATTTTGACGTAGTCACCACAACCCCTCTTCAACATGTTTCCGTTATTTTAACAAAACTATTCATACACATTAAGTCAAATGCTCTAATTCTGACGACCCCTTGAATCATGTAACTTTTACAGGTTCATCAGTTGTTTAAGGTTGCTAAAGTTGTTGGCGTGCATCCTATATGTCAGGTCCATATAGTCCATATAGATGAATCAGTTATTGAGGTTGGTGAATTGCATTTGTTTGGGTTTTCTCCTTAATTTCAAAATTCTATCTTTTTCAAAATTGTCAATGTTTGTATATTTTCTGTGGCTCAAGTATCCAATATAGGACCCACGCTCACTCCTTCTTCATTACCTTGTATAAGAAAACACATTTTAAGTACTGTAGAAGATAGAAATAGATAGGAAAAACTGTCATTTAAATACCGAACTATCCGGTTTGAGCCAAAACAAATACCAACTTGTTAATGAGTCATAAATATCATAAACTTGTATTGACTTACCAAATTAGATATACAATTAGTCAACTTTAATAGATTTTTAAAAAATGTTAACTCCGTTTATTGTAACCGTTAAGTCTCAAAACAATGTCGTTTTGAGATTATGAAAAATGGCCATTTAAATACCAAACTCTCTTTTTGCGCCAAAACAAATACCAACTTCTTAATGAGTCATAATATACAAACTTATGTTGACTTTGCCAAATTAGGTATAATATTAGTCAATTATAGATCGGAGTCCAAATCCGGACTCATAGAAAGACGAGACCCTCCAGGATTGTAGCATGAGTAATATAGTCACTATGTTTGGGGTAGTTAGTTTTCTTTCACTTTACCTCAAAGTACTCACGGGATGTTAGACATAATCTTGGATGCGACTAACAATTGCATAATTTATTATGTGTTTTTTATAATTAAAAAGAAGGACATAGCAAGATTTTTTATAAGAAAGAAAGGAGAATCACAATTGTCAGGATTAGTGGCCTAGTTTCCCGAAAGGTCATGCTCGGGTATCGCTGTAATGCAATCAGCCCTAAGGAGCAGGTTCGCCTCCGGCTCTACCCCACAAATGATGAGAACTTCTCAGTAGTCTCAGAG